GAAATGCTGAAAATCCTTGACCATAATGGAAATGCAAATCAAAAGGACTCTGAGATTTCATCTCCCTCCAGTCAGAATACCTATCATCAAGAACACAAATATTGGCAAGGATGGGAGAAAAGGAACACTTATACCCTGTTGGTAGGAATTTAAAGTAGTACAACCACCACGGAAAGTAGCATTGAGGTTCCTTAAAAGGCTAAAAATAGAACTATATACAATCTTGCGGTACTACTCCTGGGCATATGTCCAAAGGAAATTAAGTCAGGATATAATAGTAACCCTTGCAAATCCATGTTTATTGCAGCACTATTCACAATAGCTAAACATTGGAAACAGCCCAGATACCCTACAACTGAAGAATGGATTAAGAAAATGTGGTCTTTATACACAATGGATTATTATTCAGTGATAAGGAAAAATAAAATTATGATGTTTGCAGGTGAATTGATGGAACTAGATATCATTGTGTTAAGTGAAATAAGCTAGGTTCAGAAAGACAAAGGTTACATGTTTTCTCTCATATGTGGAAGATAGCCTCAAAAGTGTATACATAAATAAAAACAGGATCATATGTACATATAGAGAAAAAACTTGTCTATAATAGTGGGACTGTTGGAGGGAACTAGAGAGAAGAAGAATGATAGTGAATAATATCAAAACACATTTCACCTGTGCAGGAATATGGATTAATGGGGGTGGGGAGAAGGATAAGGGAGGGGTTAAGCTGATTGAAGAACACTATATTCATGGATGAACTACCATGGAGAAAACCCTTTTAACCATGAATATACACTTTAAAAAATGAAAGACTGGAATGTAAAAAGATCCTGGTAGGAGGTTGGTGGGAGGGGGAAGGGTGAATGGAGAGGGTGAAGGAAGAGGAATATGGTTCATGTACTTTATACTTGTATGAAAATAGAGCAATGAAACCTATTAAAATTATTTTAAGCAAGGGCAGGGAGGGTGAAGGAGAATGATGGAAGGGATGAATCTAACCAAGGTACATTATAAGCAAATGGAAATGTAACAACATGTATGGAAATGCACAACTAATAAAATGTTTCTGAGAAAGAATTCTGTGTTTCTTATATAATAAAAAGAGAAAAACTGAAAAAAAATACCCTATATGTGATATTTTGTTGTGGCAGCATGAGAAGAACATACTGACATACTTAGCTGAAGCTGATATCTGTCAGGTTGGGGAGATCGCCTTCTCCAGGACATAGTGTCTGCTCTCCTTGCTTCCTTCATGAAGCCAATGAAGGCTCCTAGGGATGGAGTTACCATAGTCTATTTGGGCTGCTATAACAAAATACCTTATACTGAATGGCTTCAAAACAACAGAGACTTATTTCTTACAGTTCTGGGGGCTGAGAAGTCTATGAACATGGTGCCAGTAGGTACTGTGTCTATGTCTACTTCTTTGTTCATAGAAGGTGTTTTCTTGCTGGGTGATGCTGACAGAAGAGGACAATAAACCCCTCAGGATTCTTTGATAAGGGCATTAATCCCATTGATGAGGGCTCTGCCTTCCTGATCTAATCACCTCCCCAAAACTCCACCTTTGAATACCATCACACTGGGGATTAGGTTTCACCACATGCATTTGGGGAGGGGGACATAAGCATTCAGATCATAGCTCAAGTAGAAGCTGATGTTTCTCTCCCTTTCTTGTTCCATCATTACCCACCTTTACTCCCCTAATCTTATAATCTTAGAGAACAGATTTTGCTTTCTTAGCATCTGGTCAATGGATGGTAGATCACAGCTGTACATTTTAGGCTAAAATAATACACTGATTTCACTCACCTGCAGCCTATTCTCTCTGCCACTAGTATGAGAAAACTTAGCAGAACTTTATATTGACATTATTTTCATGGAGTTCATAACCCTCTTTGGTAACTTTTTTTCAGACTTATGTCATCATTTCCTCTTCTACACACCCCCTTTCTTTATCTCCTTTAATCTTGGATTAATGTTAGCATGAAAACAACCAAGCATTAATCTCTGCTTCACTCTAGGTGGTGAGGACATAGTTTCTTTTATGAGTTTTCAAAGAAGAAGATAATGAAAATGCTAACAGCATAGTTAAAGATAAAAATAAAAGAAGACTTAATGAGATTTGAATTCCTATGAGATGGGCTCCTGGGAGGCTTTTCATTAAGGTCTAATTTCTGACAGTCACAGATAAGGGAGGCCAGTTCATTTTCTCCATTTCTGGGATGTATGAAGGTTGGAGCACCCATTAGTCTCGATGGGAATGGGAAGAACTCCCTGTTGTCCTCGTTCATCTCCTTCCTGAAAAAAAATGTGGCTTACTTTTTAAAGTTTTTAAAGACCTACGGTTCATATATGTGAAGAAAACCAACATGGGGCTGGGGGCTTCCCTGGATGACCCTCATAAGCCAAAGATGGCATAGAAATGGAAGAAGAGATAGGGAAAACATGATTAGGAGGCTGAAGGGAACTATAAGGAGAGTGCTTAAAAGAAAATAAAAACAAAACTCAAACAGAAAAAGGTTATTTATTGTATTTTAGTTTATTCACTGTCTGGTACTGGGGATTGAACCTCAGTACCTGTGCATTCTAGGAGTGTTCTACCACCTGAACCATACCCCTGTTTTTGAGACAGGGTTTCTCTCATCCCTGTCTTTGCCCAGGCTAGCCTTGAACTCAAGATCCTCCTGCCTCTGCCTCCCAATGAGCTGGAATTATAAGCATGGGCCACCATGACTTACTTCTTTTTATTTTTTTAAATATTTATGCTTGTTCATTTTCCCAGTCCTGTTGACATAATTTAAACATTATGAAGCCCAGTAACAGAAAAGTGATTCATAGTATCATTTACAATAGCAAAAATAGATCCCTATAGATCTGGGATATGGAGTTCACTTTTTTCCCTAAAGATCTGTTTGTACTGGTAATGTTGATTATACCACTTAACATGCCAGTTATTGGAATGTGGGGATTCTCCAGGGGGCCAGACACACGGAAGGACCTCTGGATCAGTAGCCTTTCCTATTAGGTTACTCTAAGAACAGGATGACTAGATGTTATCATTGTCCAAGCTGGTACACTTGTGAGTCAGAAAGGGGGCACTATTAATAATTGTGCTCATACAAAATACATAAAATATGATTAAGTATAGTCGCCAGAGCCAGGAGCTAGGTCAGCAGCTAATCCTTTCTTTACTCCTGCGGTTCCCAAAGTCACAAAATGATGAAAATTGCAGCCTAATGTCAGGACTTTGTCTGAACTATTTTACTGTTCCCTCAGCAAACACAGAAACATTATAAATGTCTATCTCATTATTCCTGGAGGAGTGGGATAATAATAATGTAGGAATTGGGGGCTTAGAGAAATCAAAAGTTTCTCTCCAGAGCACACTATCAACCATTACAACTCTGTTGCCTGCAGGCAACACCTTCCTTCTTTATCTAGATTCTATCCACTGTCCTAAGTCCTGTTGATATGGCATGGCCTATAGAAAGCTCTTCATGACAAAGCTACTTATTTTTCTGGCTTCGAAACCTATGGACATAGAGTTAGCATTGTTTTACCATGTGATTCACATGCAATAATCCCAGGCCCCAGAAGAAAAGGCATGGATTCAATTTTGTGTCTAATACCATTCTCCAAGTGCAAAAGCATTCACAGGATTATTTATTTACTACACAAGCACTATCTTGAAAGACAGCTGGCCAGGCTGCAGGGAGTAACCCTGGGGGTGGAGGTGTAAGAAAAAAATTTTTTTAATCTGCATCTATAGATAAGATAGACACAGGTGTAGAAATCACTCATCGGTATGGGCATGCACACACAGAACCAGGCAGTGTCATAGCTGAAACTTGGTGAACTTGCCCCATTGCTCTTTATCTTGCTCATGAAAGTTGCTCTCTGGCATCTCAGCCATTGCTTGATTCTTTACTTGTATAATGGAATTTGTATTACTCTTAGATACACACTTTAAAAAGTATTCTTTTTCTATTTTAAGGAGACCATTTGTTAAAATTGAAATCACACATGGACATGAATTAGACCTTTCATTATCTTTGCAGGTTATTTTATTACATGGATGCTCCCCACTTATAACAGGGTTATGTTCTGATAAGTCCATTATAAACTGAAAACAAAGACCCATGCCTGTATTGCCAGCTACTGGGGAGGCAGAGTTAGGAGGACGATGGTGAGAAAAGTTAGTAGGAAACCCTATCTCAGTAACAAACTAAAAGCAAAAGGACTGAGAGAGTGCCTCAAGTGGTGGAGCGCTTGCCTTGCACGTGTGAGGTCCTGAGTTCAAACACCAGTACCACAATGATAATCAGAATAAAAGTTGAAAACATAGAAAGTTGAAAATGCGTTTAATAAACCATGCATCTTAGTTAGCAAAAACAGGACACCATAGAGCGTTGGTTGTCCCCCTCGTGATCATGAAGGACAGGGAGCTGTCATTCACTGCTCAGCATCTGTAGAGAGGATCGTGTTGCTTATCACTAGGCCAAGAAAAAAGTAAGCACACTTCAAAATATAACTTCTACTGAATTGATATCACTTTGACATAATCATGAAGTCAAAAAAATCATAAGCTGAAGCATCATAAGCTGGGACTACCTTTATGTTGTCTATTTAAATTTTTTCTGTGTGTGCGGGATTGAATCCAAGACCTTGTGCAAGCTAGGCATATCTCTACTACTAAGCTATACATCCAACCTAATTTTTTTAAAATAACAATTGAAAAGAAATGAGTGCTATCTAAAAAGACCAAAATAAAAACTATATACCTCAATCATAAATTAAATTTATTAACTTAAAACCTACACATGATTTTAGCAAGAAATTAACCAATGGAACCAAAGAGAGAATTGCTCAGATATTATCAAATAAATAACTTGCAGGTGGGCTGGCTCAAGTGTTATGAGTGCCTGCTTAGCAAGTGTGAAGCCCTGAGTTCAAACGCCAGTGCTGCCTCCCGAAAACAGTCAAATAACACATAAGAAGAGTTTTTCCAAAGATTTATTGAAGCAGAAACAAGTTGGTCAGATACTTGCTGGAAAAAAGCAGTTTTAATGGTATTCAAAAATACTTTTAAAAAAGTATTCTAGCACAAGACTTCTTTGTAAACTAGATTATGTTGTAAACTTCTTTTTCTAAAACTTTTAGGAGTGTCGGTTGTTAAGAACTAGAGCTTATTCCTATTCCAAATCTATCTTGCGCTCCTGAAAAACTGCAGAAAGGCACTTGAAAGCTGTTTCTTTAAGATATGGGTTTCTTTTTTATTCTTGCTGGTAATATATTGCTGCACTGAAGGCGTGCAGTTCTTATTCAAGGTCATCATGATGCTGGGAAGTTTCATTGATAACCTGTTAGAAAAGAAAGAAAACTCAAATCAAATATTATACTACCTACGTAAGGCTAATTTATCCCATAAATCATGACAAAAAATCTTACTAGATACATAATTTTGTTGTGCAAGTTGGAAGTTTACAGTAAAGAGGGAACAATACATCTGCAAGAGGCCCTTACCTACAGGTCAAATATGTATCCAATGAAATGTTGTGACATATAAAAGAAAACCTTTTTCAAAAGTGTTTATAAAGGATGCCACGCAACAAAATTTGGTTGGTCATATGGCATCCTTGTCCTGTGTAAACAGGTTTAGGAGTGTTTAAGTGATGCCCACTAAGAGAGGGTGGTATATCCAGGATTAAAACAATATCACTGATATTGAGGTAGTCTAATGTAGTTAGCCTAAAAAGTGGCTTAAGGAAGTTTTACTCCTATTTTAAATTAAAGACCACCGCAAATCACTAAATCTGAGGAGCTGGGAGACTGCTGTCTCACCTCCACCTCCATGAGCCAAATAATTAGTTGGTTGTGTGTAGTAGTTGAACACGTGGCCTATTCTTTTAATAGACATGAAAGAAGCCAGAACTTCTCGAATGAGCTAGCTGTATCTGATACACAGGTTTATCAATTTAAAAGCAGACCAATGCCTATCTGAAATAACTCCATTTTAATTTTATTTTTCTCATTATTCTGTTTTTCATTTTTTATTTTAAAGATACCAACCTGTCCATCTCTGGTTTCAACCGTCTTAATCAGAAGAGTCCTTTTTGAGTGGGTGTCAACCAGAGGGAGTGAATCCAGATTAGTTTCTAATAAAAAAGCAAATAAAAAATGAATAACAATGAGAAAATTTTAAAAGTAACCATTTTATTTAAAGCACTTTTTTTCAACTGTTGAAAGTGCTACTCCCAAATACTCCATAAAGCATTCTGTTTGAAAACCTAGTACCTAACACCACACCTCACCTCAGGATGAGATCGTACTCCAGTGTGCTCTTCACTAAGAAGAAGTAAAATGAAGTTGACATTTAATATGAGTATTGAATGCAAGAAAACACTCAGGTTTGAAAATTATGACTCGGGCTAAGGGTGTTACTCAGTGGTAGAGCACTTGCCTCTCACGTACAAGATCCCCAACATAAAAGTGAAACATAAGTAATATAAAATGCAAACTATAATACAAAAAGAAAATTATGGATGTTTTATAGAATTTTCTCTGGTATGGCATTTTTCAGGTATCATAAAAGAATGAGTTCTTGGGCTGTTGGAGTAGCTCAAGTTGTAAAAGTGGCTGCCAAGTAAGTGTGAGGCCCTGAGTTCAAAGCCCAGTGCCATCAAAAAAAAAAAAGAGTTCTTTACTATAAATAAAGTAGTTACAACCTGGTAACATTTTTTTTCATGAAAGGAAATACAATGCTTACCTCTCAGGTTCAGAGAGGAAAAGTTTGGAAGAGGCAGAGAAATCCTATAAAAAAGATAAAGAAAAACAATAAAATTGATAGAAGACAATAACTTCAAAAATAAGGGATCCATTTACATATTTCATGTTTTTGTCCATTAAGAAAATTGACTCTTTTCATCCATATGTTAAATATTTGATTTGGAAACATTTACCCATGGTTGGTGTCCTTAGAGCATTTAAAATATTTTACTCCAGTTTTTTTCCACAAAGGCATAAACTAGCAGCATTACAAAGGGAAAAGAGTGTTGGCTTTGACAAAGTTGTGGGTTCAAACCCCAGTTCTGCTATTAGTTAGCTCTGACTATGCAAGTGACTCTCTCTGAATCTAAAGTTCCACATTTATAAAAAGTGGAATGGAGCTACCTTGAAGGAATGTTCTAAAGGTTAAAGGATATATGTGCATGAGTGGCCAAACACCTAGAGAATGTTGACTATCACTGACATCACAAGTCTGTTCTGTACCTGCTCTCCTCGCCTTCCAGCAGCTTCCTGTAGGTGGCAATCTCAATGTCAAGAGCCATCTTAACATTGAGCAGGTCTTGGTATTCACGAAGGTGACGAGCCATTTCTTCCTTCATGTTCTGAATCTCATCCTGCAGGCGGCCAATAGTGTCTTGGTAGTTAGCAGCTTCGACAGAAAAGTTCTCTTCCATTTCACGCATCTGGCGTTCCAGAGACTCATTCTGTAAGAAATGAGGAGGATCTTCTGATGTTATTTTCCACAAACACCCAACTATTCCCAGAAACATTTGCAGACAAGGTGCAACAATTTCCCTTAGTGGCAAATGGTGCACACTCTAATTGTGGGTGGGAAATATTAGTACAAAGTCACACTTTTTTTTTAAAGACAGGGTCTCACTATATAGCCCAGGCTAACTTCAAACTCTTTCTCCATCCTCCTGCCTCATCCTTCCAAATGCTAGGATTACAGGCAATGAACCACCATGCCTGGTTCCCAAATCTCTTTTATTGGAAGCTAAGCCTCAAAATCTTCATGAATCTGTCTCAATAAATAACTTTTTCTTTGGATAAAAATTTAAATCTTTCCTCACTTGAAATTTTGTTCAGGTGTCACCATTTGTTTGGTCAACAGAATGGGTCCCCACTCATTATTTTCCCCCTTTTACTGCAGTGTGGTACTCACAGTTCCTTTAAGAGCATCCACTTCACAGGTGAGGGATTGCACCTGTCTTCGGTACTCATTTGACTCCTGCTTCGCCTGGCGCAGGGCATCATTGTTCCGGTTAGCAGCCTCGGAGAGGTCAGCAAACTGTCAGGAAGAAATCAGAAATGAAGATTGGCCACGTTCAAGTCTTTTCACTCTCACAGCAAAAGAAACCAATGGTAATTCTCAGTGTTTTCTGGAATAAGTCTAAATTTCTAGTTTGGAAGCCAGAAAAGAGCAGTGGGATGTTGACATTGATATTTTCTAATGGAATTCACTCTGCTTATTTAAAAATAGTAGCTGTCTAGGGCATGATGTTGGGGTTTTCTGTGAATTAGGATGAAAGATAGTGAGTGGAAAAGAGTCTGCTATTGTAAAAGAGTTCTGTGAGTAGTGCAGAGGCCATAGGAATTTGAAGAAGTTAAAGTCAGCTTTTGCATGGAGTTAAAGGATATTCAGGAATTGCAGACAGGTTCATGTCTGTAGAATAAAATGCTTTTCTTTTGGTCGGTCACACTATCTTATTTTATACCTTGGACTTGTACCATTCTTCTGCCTCCTGAAGGTTCTTGGCAGCCACACTTTCATATTGCTGACGGACATCACGCAGGGCAGCCGTGAGGTCGGGCTTGGAGACATCCACATCGATTTGAACATGCTGTTCCTGAATCTGGGCCTGCAGCTCCTGGATTTCCTGAGGGAAAAACAGCTAGATCAGTCTCATCCAGTATGGCGCAGCTTCAACCTCATTCACTTGCTGAAAGTTACTCCACTTACCTCATCATGCAGTTTCTTCAAAAAGGCAATCTCTTCTTGCAAGGATTCCACTTTGCGTTCAAGGTCAAGACGTGCCAGGGAAGCATTGTCAACATCCTATTTTGAAAAAGAAAAGAGGACATTGCGGGTGCTGAAGTCTATGGTTTACCTCATTTATTCATTTCTAATTAACCATATGAACCTAGTTGCCTTGCTACTAGTTGCCTTGCTGTAGAAAAGGTGTTGACAAATTTTGTAAGCCTTGGATAAATTTACAGATCATTTACTGGTACTCTAATAGCGTGCTTTCTTTTCTGAATCATAAATTTGATTTGGGAGCCATTGTGTTGTAGTCAAGGGAGCTAGTAGACAAAAATTGAATGGACACAGGTCTGCTGAAGTCCACTCAATTATTATTGAATCCACACTTTTTTACCAGCGAAATTTGATTATTATTTTTTAAATCCTGAAAATCAATGACTCAGACTTTTAAAGATTTTTTTGGGTAATATCATAATGATAGGAGTTGATGAGATTTCACAACTTCATGTATATGTTTAGAACAGAAGTTCACACTTCAAAAGTTTCAGCATGTACCTAAGCCATTTTTTTAACTCTGTGCAAACCTTCTGATATTTATCCTTGAGCCCCAGAGCAAATATTTAGTTATCTGGCATCCAGGTGACAATGTTACAATTAAATCCTCCAATTCAAGATATGCATGGGCAAAGATGAATTTTGGGCAAATAAAGAAAGAAATATAACTCTGAGCTGTATTTGTTTTGCCTTTTCTGTGAGTTTTTCTACTGAAAACCCCTCTGATTCATCTGTAAGGATGTGTATGACTTTTTCACTTGATACACGTCAGTTCAGTTAGGCTTTTTCAGAATGATTGGTCAAAATGCTTTCATAGAATGAAACTATGTGTATAATTATTCATGAAGTGATACATTCCAAACCAGAAATGTGTGCTCTCGCAACTAGGATATTATGTCCCCTCAAGACATTTGCAAGCAATTGTACTTGTGGCGCAGTTTATAGCCTTATATTCTTACAATGTTGAGATAGTTCTATCACCTTCATGGCAAAAATGATAAATAACAAGAAATAATAATAAATGGAATGAAAAAATTTATTTTTGTTAAGTTAAGCCCTAAAAAAGATATAAAAGATACTTTTTTAAAAAGTTCAATGTGACACTATATTTCATTGAATAGAATGAAGAATGTTATTTAAACCCTAAGCAAGGGAACTTTTATATTAATTTGTTTTGTCTTAGCTCACTACTCTGAAGAAAACATTACAGCAGTAACGATCATAATGCTTGGTGACTAAAATAAGCCACACATATTGTTGTGTTTCAAATGTGTTTCCCAGATTCAAAATGTTATCCAGACTATTTACCTGAGAGTGTTTTGTAGCCAATACCAGTAAGAGTTCCTGAGGATAAAGCTAGACTGAGAATCTTCCTGCTTTAGGATTCAATTTCAAGTTAACAATCCTTTAAGTCCATCTAACTTTGAAGTAAAAACTTTCTTTACATAAAATTCTGTTCTTCAGTCTTGCGTTTACTTTTGTTTATGGAGAGAGTGCGAAAACAATAAGAACTCAATAAACAAAGGCTTTTCAACATGTGAAGAATGATTGTCACCTTCAGAACTCTCACATCACATACTTCACAAGTCTGGGCCAGATATTAGATAACGGATGTTAGCAAATACTTGTGCCCAATTAGAACTATGCTTACATCATTACATATTCAATAAGAATGTAGCCTGTTGCAAAGCTGCTCTGGGAACACAAAGAGCTATTATTTCCGTCCAGAGCCACCACACTTGCCAGAAAGTCTGTATCTACATTCCATAGTGAAGCCCATAGAAACCATTAATACCCTGCAGCCGTGGGGACAGATGGCTTCTTTTCACTCTTATTAGATCAAAAATAGTTGTGCAGAGTGATACTTCCATCTAACTTTAATGCCACAATAGAACTTGCAGAGAAAAAAAAAGAAACTTGGTTTTATTCCAGCTAAACTCAGTTTCTTATCCTTCAATATACATTTTACATTTTAAACTACAAGACCTGCTTTTTGTGACCTTGTAAAAGTTAGTCAACTTGGTTTAAGCAAAGAACAATCTAAATCAAAGTGTAACTGTTCAACATCGGAATGTCAAATAGTTGCAAAAAATGAACGGGGAAAGAGATTTCTTTGGGAAGAAAAATCTTGAAACAAAGCAAAAAGTTTAAAAGTTTTCTTTATGTCCTAAGAAACAACTTCAATAGTTTAAGTACTTTTTATTCAGAAAAGCGCCGATCTGTGGGTTTTCTGCCACTAGAGGGCTTTACAAGCAGCTATGAGATTTTTGCATCTTTTAAACTTGGATGAAGTAACTTTTAGAACTACCCTTGGGTTGGCTGGGTGGGGTCTGGTGGCTGCGAGTGGGAAGAATCTACAAACCTGTCTGAAAGATTGCAGGGTGCTCTCGGCTTCCTCTCTCTGAAGCATCTCCTCCTGCAATCTGAAACAGTTGCACGTTAACCAAAGGGGAACTTGGAAACCTCCAGGGGCGGGGCGGCCACACCCAACCACCACGTCGCGGTGCAGCAACTGGAGAGCTGCGACGCCACCTCCACCCGCACCAGCGACTGTGGCCTGTAGAACTGCTGTCCTCCGCAGGTTTTAGCGGGACCCGAGGTGCAGCGCAGAGAGGCAACCACGGTCGCCGCACAGACGTGCAAGACGAATCCCCAGCCCTCCGCCCTCATTTCTTTGTCTCGCAGTCTCCATCCTCTCCTCCGCCTGGTAGCTGGCAGCCCGCCAAAAGAGGCCGGGAAACTTTCTGAAAGTTTAGGGGACTCGTTCTCCTAGTGTCAAAAGACCTTAAATACAGATAACCTGGTACTTTTTAGAAATCTGCACTTGAAATGCAGCGTCCTTAGCAATGAGTAGGGGAGCAGACGGGAAATGCTAGCTGCAAAGGTCTAGGTTAAGGGCGGGGCTGCGCGCTGCACCACAGCCCTGCTCCCCCACTGTTCCCCGACAGCCGCCGCCCAGGCCACATCCCAAGGGTGTGGCAACCCGTCGCAGTGTAAGGGGGTCCAGTTCCCCTCTCTCCTCCCTCCCCACCGTCACAAGCCTCGATTGTGAGCCGCCTTACTTCTCGCGGAGCCGCATGATGTCCTCCGCCAGGTTGTCGCGCTCCACTTCGACGCGGGCCTTGTCGTTGGTGAGCTGGTCCACCTGCCGGCGCAACTCCCGCATCTCCTCCTCGTACAGGTCCCCCAGGCGCGACTTGCCCTGGCCCTTGAGCTGTTCGAGCTCGGCCAGCAGAATCTTGTTCTGCTGCTCCAGGAAGCGCACCTTGTCGATATAGTTGGCGAAGCGATCATTCAGCTCCTGCAGCTCCACCTTCTCGTTGGTGCGGGTGTTCTTGAACTCGGTGTTGATGGCATCGGCCAGCGAGAAGTCCACCGAGTCCTGCAGCAGCCGCAAGCCGGGCACTGCGCTGCTCCGCAGGCGCACGGCAGAGGACCGGGAAACATAGCCGCCACCCGGGGACGAAGCATAGAGGCTTCGGCTGGTGCTGGGGCGCAGCGAGCTGCCCAGGCTGTAGGAGCGGGTGGACGTGGTCACGTAGCTCCGGCTGGAGCTCGGCCGGCTCCCGGTACCGGGGCCACCGAACATCCTACGGTAGGAGGACGAGGATACGGACCTGGTGGACATGGCTGCGGAGGGAGGCGATGGGCTGGGTGGGTGCGGCTGCACGGACTGGCTTAGACAGGAGAGGCGAGCGAGTGGGAGGTGGGAGCGCTGCTGCGTCTCTGGTGCGGGGACCCCGGAGCAAGAGTAGCAGAGGACGGGACCCCGCCAAAGGCGCTGTTTTTATAACCCCATTAGGAAAGAGGGTCCCCTCCCACTGCCATCCCAGCCGTGGATTGTGCCAGCCAATAGGGACCCAGCAAGAAGCGGAGAAGGTGGGCGGGGGGTTGGGGTTGGGGTTGGGGCTGGGGCTCTACCGAGTCTTTTTTTTTTTTTTTTTTTCTTGGAGGCTCTGCACTGGGCACAATCCCGTTACTTCTAGGGTTGGACTGGGACTTTCAGGGGCTTTCCTGAGGGTAGCCGGAGTTCTGCTCACCCCTGGGTACTGAGAAAAGCGATGTCGCGCGATGGAAGGAGGGGTGTAAGCCAGAAAGTTAATCAAAGGGGTCCCTCGACTCAGGCCCTGCGCAGCCTGACGCCTCGCTCGATTTCCAAAAACGACTGCTCCAGCCCGCGCCCCCTTTCATCATCTCGTTTTGGGGAGTGTTTCAAAGGGGCGTGGGAGGGGCGCGGTTGCAGAACTGCGGTCGGCTGGACGTGGGCGGGTAGGGAGACCCGCTGGGTGAGCGGGAGTAAGGGATCCAGTAGATCGGAAGGCGTGGAGAAGAAACAAAGAGGGCTGGAGATGGAGCGCAGGATGGGGGGCGCACACAGCCCGGGATGCTGGGCTCAGGCCCAGCCCAGCCTTACGCTCCCCTCGCTTCCAAAAACGGTTGCTCCAGCCCGCGCCCCTTTTCATCATCTTGTCTTGGGGAGTCCTGTTTTCGGACCTAATGAGTTCAGTCAGGCTTCAGACTGCTGGAGTTGCGAGGCTGCGGCCGAAGAGAGCCCAAGGGACAGGGGTGGGGTCGCTGAGTCACTGGCCTTGACTCACCGGGCCTGCGCCCCGTCGAGGTTGCCGGATCCTAGCGGTTCAAGGGAAACCGTTAGATGAGATTAACTCAACTCTACGCGGGTCCAGCGCGCATTGTTCCAAGTTTTGCCAACTTAGATCTGGGCCGCGGCTTTGATGTGTGCGGTCCGGCCACTGGGAGCCAAAAGCGCCCTTAAGTTCTGGGGCGCCTGAACTTTGTTCCAATGAAGGGACTCCAAAGTCTGGGTTTGTTCTAATGCAAGGACTTCCCCTTACCAAGGAACTTCTGCACACCCTGGAGAACAGCCAAACGCGGGTCTCCGGGATCACGAATGCACAGGGGCAGGCTTTTCTTGTGAAGAGCCCTTCTCCCCACCCCCTTCCCTCTGGTCTGGTCTCCTCTTCTTCCCACTCCTAGCCCCACCCCATGAAACCACACCCGAATTTTACCATGATCTGAAACTTCTGGGTGAAAGAGGAAATCAGCGACTGTAGTTTCAAAATCAAGTGCAAATGCAATGATCGCTTTTTTTTTTTTTTTTGGCTAGAGCAAGTCATTAAAATCTGAGCCGATTAAAGAATTAATTAGGTGTTTAAGCACCCCTATTTGATTAATGAGTTCAAATGAAAGTCATTTATATAGCCCAAGTGATAGAATGTTTGTTAATAGATTTCCGTGTTAAATTTAGTACAGAGCAGATTTTGGTGACTTACTTGTCCGGACATTGTCACAAGAACTCATGCAGTCGGTGTTGGAGTGATGAAGACAAAACTGTCCAGGGCAGGATGTTGAGAATGTTCAGATCCAGCCACTTTACCATTTTTAAGGAAATCGCTCAAGGGGAATTGTTCCAATATTAGCTACAAGCAGGATTAAGTGTCACTAGCTCCCCCAAGGGAGATGAAAGGTTGGAGGCAAACCAGTCCATTTGAGATTAGGAAATAACTGAAAATCATAGAGTTTTTTTTTTTTCGTATTTACACTTAGGGAGTGCTGAATTAACTGTACAAACACTAAATTTGGTTCTACAGTGGATAGCCTTTCCTTTTTTCTTTTCTTTTCTTTTTTTTTTTTTTTGTGGGGGCAGAGAGTACTGGAGACTACCTGGCATTAAAAAAAAGTAGTTTGGAGCCAAATGAAGGATTTATGCTAGCTTCTTTGTACAAACCTCTTTTAGGCAATATTTTGTTTACCTCATCTCAGTTAGTTCTGGCCAAGGCCACTGCCAAGGTCAAGAGCAGTACTGTCTGGGGCCCACCTCTCCTGCTGCTGCTTTCTTTATTCTCTCATTCACTAGGAGGCTGTGGGTCCTTCCCAAAGAGCATTCCTGGGGCCAGCCTGTGCTTCACCTTACCCTCTCACTTACTGAGAGTCCTTTATTTAAACCACTCCTCAGCAAATGTCACCATTGTGAGCTTGCCTGGAACCATTAGGACGAGAATAGTTATTTCCCTATGGGGGGAAAACAGGGTGGATCTTCCTCCTACATGAAATGTTATCTCAGGGCAGTGCAGTGGCACTGTCAGGGGACTCCTGCTAACTGACTCACTATGGAAAATCAGGGCAAGGCTTTGGAGCCATGTGGCGGTGTGCCACGTGGACACCCACAGCAAATTCCTTGGGACTGTGATGACTTCTGGGATGGGCTATGGTTTTCCTCATCATCTGAGGGGTATCCCTTTTCCCTACCCTATCTCCCTATCCCCATTCTATGGTCTCACTGCTGTGGACAGATACTCTTTTGCACAGCTTGATGTCTATAAAATATACAAATGTCTAAGTATGTGTGTACATGTGCTTCTATGTGTATATATATACATATGTATGTATCACGTGCAGTATTCCATGTGTCCTTCCTATTAGAAATTGCCATAGTTTGTGTGCAGTGACTTACACCTATAATCCTAGCTACTCAGGAGGTGGAGAGCAAAAGGATCACAGTTCCAGGACAGTCCAGACAAAAAGCTCAGGAGACCCCCATTTCAACCAATAGCTAGATGTGGTGGTGCTCACCTGTCATCCCCACTACAAGGGGAAGCACAAATAGGAGGATCACAATTTAGGTTGGCACAGGTATAAAGCAACATCCTGTCTAGAAAATGACCAACACCAAAAGGACTGGCAGAGAGGCTCAGGGTGTTAAGGCCTGCCTAACAATTACAGGGCCCTCAGTTTGCAGTTTGAGGCCAGCCTAGGCAAATAGTTTGTGAGATCCCCATCTCCCATGAAGCAGCAGTTTCAATGGGGTCCTAATTCCAGTTCAAATTCCAGTCCAGTACTCAAAAAAAAAAAAAAAACCCCACTTTTACTCACTCATGTAGAATGTATGAGACTTGGGAAAGAATTTGCTTTATTCTGAGATAAAATATACAGTGCCTGGACCACAGTGGGGGCGCAGTGCCTCACCCAGTGGGTAATAGTCATCAGGGGAAAAATCAAATCAATACGTCTGACTGAACATCCTTGAGTACCATAACGCATCCTGCTACCTACATCCTTAGTTACCTTTTAGGAGTAAATGGTACACAGACATGGGCTTTTTGGTTTTTGTATTTATTTTCTCACTGCTCTGAAAACCTATCTCATAAGTATTTTTAAATGTGACTATGTATGATGCAAATTGTGTATAAATAAGGACATGGTCATATGACTTGTAGACCAGGCATAAACACTACCACATCTAATGTATCAGCAGTGATTTTGGAATTTGCAAGCTGTAGTGGTGTCAGTTGAATTGAGTGCCTTGAACTGACAGACCAGCCAGCCGTGTAGTTAGGGGCTTAGTGGCATATGGAGGCTTTGGGAAAGCTGGCTAGCAGGACAGCACGTAGCAGGTCTCTCTAGATGGAATGTTAGAAATGAGAAGATGGACAAAATTAGAAAATATTGCATAGTGCCCTATAAATAGGTATCATTTTTATGTATTGGCTTAAAATAAGAGTTTGAAAGCCATAGCGAAACCTAAAAGCCATGGTAATAAAGATAATAATAAATAACACAAGTGCTGCAATGTTTGTGCCTGGCTGATGACAGGCATTGTACATGCATTTAATTTAACTTAATGCTCTCACAGCATTCTTCAAGACAGACTTGATCACCTGTTTCACAACTATAATGTCTAAGATTCAGGCTAATTTTCTTGTGTTTGTGTAACCAATAGGATAGGTAACAAGGGGCAAGAGTTTGAATAGAGGCCTTTCTGACTCCAAATGCACCTGTCTTTTTTCTTTTCCTTGATCATGACATTTGCTTACTATCAGCCAGTTCAATTCACAAAGAACATACTATGGACCTGCTATGTTCCAGAAAATAGAAAAGACAGATTGCTTAACACAAATCTTGTGAAGCAGCAGATTCCTAGAGAAATTTGGCAGACTCATAGAACATCATGTTTTATGCTATCAAAATGATTTACGAGTGATAATAGATAAGAATGAAGTTTTTGAGCCAGACTCTAGTGGTTCATGCCTGTGATCCCCAGCTACTTGGGAGGCTGAGATTGGGAGGATTGCAGTTTGAGGCCAGCCTAGGCAAATAGTTTGTGAGAGCCCCATCTCCCATGAGGCAGCAGTTTCAATGGGGTCCTAAGCTCTGCTCCATAAGTACCACATACTCTTCCTATCCTCAGATCTTTTCTCATATTCCATTCAATAGATTGGTGTGCAGTAGGATCTGCTTATTTGAAGTGTTGTTTTCTGCAGTTGCAGTTATGGTCAATTGTGGTCCAAAACTGTAATACAGAACAATAAAATATTTTGAGAGAGAAAAACAAAGACCACATTCATATAACTTTTATTACAGTATATTGTTATAATGATTGTATTTTATTATTAGCTGTTATTAATCTCTTACTATGCCTAATTGATAAATTAAATTCGATCAAATGTGTGTGTAAGAAAAATAAGCATGTATTGGTTTTCATACATCCATTGGGGAATCTTGGAACATATTGCTTACAATGCTTAGTATATTGAGATAAATCAGAAACTTCCTCTGGGAAAAGATTAAGAAGGATATAACTGAAGAGCTGGAATACATAAAAGAATGTGATGAGAGTAACACAGTGGACATATGAAAGAAACTAAAGGTTTTGATGAAGAAATTATCATTCATTTGGCGGGAGTTCAGAAAATGTATTGCGAAAAGATGGTATTTAGAGAACGGGTAAAATTTCTACAGATTATTGTGGTAGTGACAGATGTCTTAAGATGATCAAACAATAGAAGCAAAAACTGCATAGACGACAGAGTGCTGGGGGACATTTAGGGA